ATGTAATGTGATTGTTAGCAGTTTACCTTATTCATAATTAAATTTGTTGGCCATTGGTGTAATGCACTATTTGTGCGAAGAGTTCTTATACAAGGATTAGTAAAACCATAAGAATGATAAATTGTTGCTTATCATCTTTAGTTCTGAAGTAACTGATAAGAGCTAACATCTATCAAGAGAAGATGCCATATATTCCAGGTTTTACATACTGAAGTGGACATCCATCATGTGTGCACCTTTTTAGAATTTTATGAGGTTTACTATAGAGCAGAAGAAAGGGGCATCATATTACACAAGGGCAACACCCTTGGGGCCACTGTTTGAAACTTGCATTAAAAATAGATTGTTTTTGCACTTTTTGTTGTATATTTAGCACATTTTCTTGCCTTTTGTGCTACATCTATCATGTCATTTTATATTGTTTCATAATTATATTTTATGACATCAGTTCTTTACGAACATTCTACAGACTTCTCTATTTTATACTTCCACCTCTATAAATGCACTAATGTATCTGATACAACTTTTCAATGTTCTGAGGCAGCATTGTTCACTTGGTAGGACATTTCCACTGGAATCTTGAAGATGTTGCCAAATCATTTTTGTGCATGATGATGTCTGGCCCATTTCTTACTGGTTATACACAGGTAACATTCTTCTTGGTATATAATTTTATCATCTGCTGTTGGATGAGGGTTTCAAAGTGAAAAAAAAAACCTTGAATTGTATGCCTGCTTAATGTTTTAGACTCTAAACGATTGGTATGACCAAGAGATTGATGCAGTTAGTGAACCATATCGACCAATTCCTTCAGGGGCTATATGTGAAAACGAGGTATGTTGTAAAACTCAGACTTATTATTATCATTCATAATGATGACTCTTTAAATAATTGTTTACCAAAATTCTGCAGGTTATCACTCAAATATGGGTGTTGCTAGCTGGGGGTCTTGCCTTGGCTGGTATATTGGACATATGGGTGAGTGTTGTGTGCTATACACGATAGTCCTATGCTCAACCTCTTCTCCTGCAAGTCTAAAATTGTATTTTTAATAGGCAGGGCATAGTTCCCCTATAGTTTTCTACCTTGCTGTCGGTGGATCCCTGCTGTCATTTATATATTCTGCTCCTCCTTTAAAGGTATTTTTTTAAAGCAAAATTCCTTCTTTCTCTTTTTCTCTCTGTTTTCTACTCTGCATTTGTCTGATCATTGACTGAAGTTCTTTATGTTTTTGCAGCTAAAACAAAATGGGTGGATTGGAAACTTCGTCCTTGGAGCTAGATACATCAGTTTTCTATGTGTGTCATACCTTCAGCCTTGATACTTAATACTAATAGCTATAGAATTGTTTGCTGATTGTAAAATCGATTACTAGTCATTCAACTGGCTTATCTTTTTAGATAAATGAGTTGCTGAATATGATTGGTGTTAAGCTTTTATTCTCCAGATTCAAACTATGGGCGAAAGAATGAGGGTTTTAGCAAGATATATTTTAGATATCATTTTTTTTTCCTGGATACTATTTGCATTAAGAATGAGATGATGGCAATTATAAGTTAACAGAGTAATCAGATCAATATTTCATTCATTTAGGAAACAAATAGGTCTTATACCCTGATTTTATTAATCTATTTTTGAGGTCTTTTTTTTTTGCCCTTTTTTTCTTTTACATTTGCGCTGTGTTCTGTAAGCTGTTTGATCTTTGATCAATGTCTTGTTGACAGGTGGACCGGTCAGGCTTTATTTGGGACTCTTACACTTAATGCTTTTGTTCTCACCCTTATACAGCATATCAGGAGGATGTAGTAGTATATGCAACATGGCATTTTGTTAGCTATGATATCTATCTCCTGATGTATCTTGACTGGTCAATAATATTGTTGCTCTGTCACATTGTAGTTGGGCATTGCCATTGTCTAGGACTTCAAAAGCATTGAAAGGGATACGGCTTTAGGGCTTCATGTCTCTCCTTTTTATTCTTCACCTTTCAGTTACTTTAATCTGAACTTTTGATGTTCTGTAAATTTTAATCGAACATACACATTGAAGTAGCTGCTTCTGACCTTTCTATTCGTCTGAACAGTCTCTTCCAGTTACTTTAGGTACTGAAATTGCCAAATGGATATGTGTTGGAGCTATTGACATTGCACAAATATCTGCTACTGGTACGTATGCCTCCCCTTAAACCTGAACAAAAGTAGCCACTCTACATTCTATAGTGCCTTCTTTTTTATTTTCTGCAGGGGACTAGAACAAAAACATATCTAAAATGTATCACAGTATCAATTTCACCTTATCGTCAATTTTTTTTATTGAGTAACTTGCATTCACCTCTCCTAAGGTTTTTGATACTTACAATCGTGCCTTTTACATTTTCAGCTTATTTAAGATCCCTCCTTGTGACATTGTCATAGAGTTGCTGATAGATAGGCACGATGTTATCAATATGAACTACTAGGATAGATGGTTCTAGAATATCATTAGAAAAAGCTTAACAGATTGTGTGTGTTCATTCTGGAGCTAATAATTTCATAGAAAAGAATAATCATGTTACAGATGATTTAGTGTGGCTCAACTGCTGTTGAAGTAGTCTTTCTCATTAGTCACCAAGACTTAAAATTTTGGTGAACTAGTAATGAAAATCTTATTATGTTTTGTGCAAAGAATTTACAGACGCTTATGGTTGCAGGATGTCTTCTTTGGATTGGCAAACCATATTATGCTCTGGCCTTACTTGCCTTGATAATTCCACAAATCTATTTTCAGGTAAAGCACAGTTAGCTTTCTTTCACATGTTGATAAAAGTAAACTGTTTGTAACCATGTGGCAGCTAATAATACTCATTAGCATCTTCATAGTTTCTTATTATCTTAAGCCTTTCAGTTCCAGCACTTCCTCAAAGACCCTGTGAAGTACGATGTTGACTATCAGGTATGCCTCATTGGAACTTCAGCTTCTAAGCTTTTCCATATGTAAGCATGATCAACATGGGACATAGGTAGAGGCTATGATTGCGTAGAGGATAAGTTCAATTGAGTTCTCCATACGATCACAGCTTTAGCATGGGGTATGTCATTAAATTAGATTCTCTGTAATAATGTAGTCATGCCTTAGTGTAGAAAGAAACAAAGGAGTAAGCTTGCGTGTGGAGTGAGCTTTCCTCCTGACATCCACTTTTTGTATCTGTCTTATTTTACTAGATTATATACAATTAGCCTTTGACTACAGAGGTCTGGATCCGAATGTCACTTGGGATGCATAAGGATTAACTACTTTTCATAAATTAAGACAACCAGTTGAAAGTGGTAGAGTAAAATTTCTTACAATTTTTCAAAATTACCCTTATTCAAGTTGAGATGAGATAGATGATGAGAGTGGCGAATAGAGCAAATTTTCAGAAATAAGTCATGAATGTTTCATTAATTTTTGTGAAGGGTCTTGGAGTAAAGATCATGAGAGTACATTTTATAAATAGGATGAAGGGAGCTATATAATTTCACTGTCATTACTCGTTACTATTATGATCATTGTTTTCATTTTAAGTTTTTCTTTTGTCTTTTTCCACTTTTTTTTTTTAATCCCCCAATTTTTGGTTTTTAAACATGATCTTATGGTTTCATTAATTGCTTTCAGACAAGCGCACTGCCATTTTTTGTGCTTGGCACGTTGGTTACTGCTTTAGCAGCTGGCCATTGATCTTCTTCGGCAAAAGCCATCATGTGACATAAAAGCAAGATGAAAGTTAAGTGGGTTACACAGTTTCTTCTTGTACCACTCAAACTAATCTCCCGTTTGGTTACAAGGGCGGGAATATATTTTCTTTTGCCAGTTTCTTCTTTTATTCCCAACTCCTGTGTTTAATTCCGTTCAATTTTTGTTTCTGATTATTTAGATTTGTCCTTTGTGCCATGAATCTGATGGGATGAAAAAAGATTCTTGCATTTTTAGTTTTTGGTTAAAAGCAATCATCATTCAGTAAAAGTGGAACAAGTTTTCATGTTGTTATTCTTTTGCCAATCCCCATTTATTGATTAGAATTAAAATCAATTACAATGACCTTTAACTTCTCTAAATTATACTTATCTTCTGATATGTAATCTATAAATTCCTGTGCACATGAAGCATATCCATATCGTGCTCGTTGCATGTTTTATCATTTTGAGTTATCCGTTAATTCCTTGATTGATCATATTAAAATATTGATCTATCCTCTGAAATTCAACCCAAAAGTGAACTTAATTCTTAGTTATATAGAAATTATGACATGATATTTTTGGTTTAAAAACAATGTCACCTTTTTATTGCTGAACTCTTGCACATATAGCTGAAGGAGTGAACTATAGTTTATGACTTCAATAGTACAATCTATTATAGATTGTTAATTTTTTGGTTACAGAGAGCTGATATACCACACTATTACACACTCCCAAACCCCAACTTAATTGATATTTATGTTATATTTGACATACTTCAAACTTGAGTTCGCATAAATTATAATGTTAACATTAAAAATTAAAATTAAAATTTTATTCATACAAAACGTAGTTGTTTTCTCCATCCTATTAAACTTAGCCACAAATTTCACCACTAAGATAACAACTTAGCATATTGTGTATTTGTGCATTGAATTTTATATAAACTATGAGATAGCAAGGTGAAGATAGATCATTGAAAAACATAGAAAAATAATAATATTGTTCATATTTTGAAATAAAAAGGTCAAATTGCGAGTTTTGTAGAACAAAATGGCAATGAATGGATATAAAATAATTTAAGTGATGACAGTTTTTTGAATTCGAGTTCGATTTGAAATTTCGTAATTTACTACCCGTCGATGTCCCTACACACCCACGAAGTTGACACTTGACAATAAGGAAAAGGCACTTCAAAGTTCAGATAAATAACAATAAGAAATAATAATAATAATTTCTTAAAATAAAACACAGCAGGGGTAACGAGTTGGCAGCAAAACCCTACTCCGAGTTGGTAACGAGGGGAAAAAAAATCCTATATAAGCCATTGCTGCCTCACTGGCTGTAACCCTAATCGTTGTGACTTGTGAGCCACCCTTCGCTCCACTCGACCTCACATTCTCGGCCTTTTGCAAACCCTTTCTCTTTCTTGATTATCTGCACTCTAATCGCCGTCAAGCAAACTCCTTCGGGTGAGTATTCCATCAATTTCAGAAGAATTTGATTTGTTCCTTTTGGTTTCGGAATTCAATTGCTTAAGATGTTTCTTCCCCCCCCCCCCTGTATTTGCCCATTTCTGGTTTTAAAAAGTTATAGGAATTCAACAACTGAGTTATCATGTCGGACGATGAGAGGGAGGAGAAGGAGTTGGATCTCACTTCTCCTGAAGTCGTTACTAAATACAAGAGTGCAGCTGAGATCGCTAACAGTATGTTCAATTTCCCTGGCTGTCTCTACCGCCTTCTTTTTACACAAAAAGCTTATTTGGTGGTGTTATTAGACACATTGGACCCATAGAATTCTCAGGGTTCAAGTTAATGCTTAGTTTTTCTCAATTTATCTGCGTTTTCATTGCATGTGTCTGTGTTTTGGATATTTATATTGATGAATAGCGGGAATCTTCTGCAGAGGCTTTGCAATTAGTTATTTCAGAATGCAAACCGAAGGCAAAGATTGTAGACATTTGTGAGAAGGGAGATGCATATATAAGAGAGTAAGTTTATCTGTAGCCCATGAGATGGAACATGTGATCATATTTGTTTTGCCTGTAGCTTATGGGTGTGATGTTTTTGTTATCAAGGCAAACGGGTAACATGTACAAGAATGTGAAAAGGAAGATTGAGAGAGGTGTTGCCTTCCCGACATGCATATCTGCAAACAACACAGTTTGTCATTTCTCTCCCCTCGCCAGTGATGAGACTGTCTTGGAAGAAGGTGATATTTTGAAAATGTAAGATTTTCGACTCATTTTTTTATGAGCGATACTAAAAGAACGGATGCTGCTTTTGGCTAATAGGGGAAAAGAGATGGTGATTGTTTCTCTGGTTAATTGCAGTGATTTGGGTTGCCATATTGATGGGTTTATTGCTGTTGTGGCCCATACTCATGTTCTTCAGGAGGGGCCAGTTACTGGAAGGGCGGCTGATGTACTTGCAGCAGCCAACACTGCTGCTGAAGTAGCCCTGAGACTTGTGAGGCCAGGAAGGAAGGTAACCATATGTACGGCGATTGATCTTGCTTCTGCATTTTTATGACATGAATTTGTTTATATCCTATTACATAATTCTATTCGATCTTAAAAGTCATTCTTAAGATTGTCTCGAAGTCGTTCTTGAAAGCAAATGCAGTATTTGAAACACTATATCCAACCTCTGTCGCGTGATTAAAAACATGGTTGGATACTTGGATTTCTTTGCCGTTGCAGATATTCTTTACTGTTATCTATCTCAAAGTCACCGATTGCCTTGACTGGTTCTTTCTTGTATTCTGTTGAATTGCTAGTTTATTTACTCATGACCTTGATCTGTTGAGTCATGTTTAATGCTGTGGCATGTCTCAGCATCCACTCGCTTTTCTGGTCCTGCGTGTGTTTTAATATCCCATCATGGGAACTGTCTGGAGAGATCCCTTCCTCCCCTTTTCTGTTGATTTTTATCTCTAAATGATGAAACCTTGGATGAGCTATGGTTGTTAAACACCGGTGAAGCTTCATTGTCATAGTCACACTGATAGAGATCTTTGTTAACAGACTTCCCAATTATAGGAGTAGCATGCCAGAGCTGTATTATTCATGTTCAGATAGCTATTGGAGTAAGTGCTGTCATGAATGATTCTTGTGTCCAATATTGTTCTAGAAGTCCAAATGTAACTTGTGCAATTATGTTTTTGCTTGCTAAGTTGGGATATTATTTACTTTGCACTTTTTGGCCTAGCCTCATGTCCCTTCGAACAATGGTTTAGAGTATGTGCAGGTTGAATTAGAACCTTCACCACATTATTTATGACCCTAGATGATGAACTCATGAAAAGCTATGGACTGTTGTCCAAGTGAGGCTTATGTCATAGTTACTCTGATAGGGTTTTGATGCTGCAAAATGCAATCTACTACCCCAGAATTTTTGTAGTTTGTGATGGCCAAGCAATTTATACAATCTTCTGGAGTCCAGCTTTCCAAGGATTGCGTCTCTGAAGTTGCTGTTTCTCCCCCTATGTGATGCTCTTTTCTGTAGTGAAACTACCACATGCGGTCATTTTTAGCTGTGCAATAACTTGCAACATTTTCTGTTTTACTGGTGCATATGTAGAATCTTAGAGTGTCTTTGTTGAAGCTGTCATAGTGGCAACTTTGCCGAGGTGATCAATACTTTATTGGTTTCCTCCTTTCCCTGTTGCCTAAATGAGAATTGGCTGAAGAGTATCTATGATTATGCTGATTATTATATTGTCAGTGAGGTTGTCTATTTCAGCCAATATAGTACAATCTTAAAATAATGCCTTTTCTCTTTCAGATGGATTTGAATTTCAATCTTTGTGGTATTCCGGTTAACCATTGAACTGAAATGTTTATAATAGACTTTTCAAATTCTTCCCTGACAGAACAAGGATGTTACTGAAGCAATTCAAAAGGTTGCTGCTGTCTATGATTGTAAAATTGTTGAAGGGGTTCTTAGCCACCAAATGAAGCAGTTTGTGATAGATGGGAACAAGGTTGTCCTGAGTGTGTCTAATCCAGAAACAAGAGTTGATGATGCAGAGTTTGAGGAAAATGAAGTTTATGCAATTGATATAGTAGCTAGCACAGGAGAGGGCAAGGTAGGTTAATTGTCATTTTTATTTACCAGTATGGTGTAGTTTCTTATGAATCATGGAGTGAAAAGTTTTATCATTTGCAGCCTAAGCTGTTGGATGAGAAGCAGACAACCATTTATAAGAGAGCTGTGGACAAGAATTATCACTTGAAGATGAAAACATCTAGGTTCATTTTCAGTGAAATAAGTCAAAAGTTTCCAATCATGCCATTCACGGCTAGGTAACTAGGCCAGTTCTAAGATGGCGTTTGAATTGACATGTCTTTATATGAATTTTCTTCAAATCCCTTGAAATTGTTTTCCCCGACCTTTTAAATATCAGGGCTCTGGAAGAGAAAAGAGCTCGTCTGGGTCTAGTGGAATGTGTGAATCATGACCTATTGCAGCCATATCCAGTTCTTCATGAAAAACCTGGTAAATTTTTTTGCCCGTGGCACTATTAGATTTCTCATGCTTTTTTGATTTGCTTGCAGCATGCTTATGTGCCATATTATTTTTGTGGTTTTACAGGTGATTATGTTGCTCACATCAAATTCACAGTCTTGCTAATGCCAAATGGTTCGGACCGGATCACATCTCATGCTCTCCAAGAATTGCAGCCCACAAAGACGATAGATGATCCTGAAATAAAGGCATGGCTGTCCTTGGGCACAAAGACAAAGAAGAAGGGTGGTGGAAAGAAGAAGAAAGGTAGACTGAAAATCCAAATCTAAATGACACAGTTTCATCATATGCTTGTATATATTGCGTCTTGTATGATCCATAGAGTGTGCAGTTGTTTATATCTAACTGCTTGGCTTTTTACAGGGAAAAAGGGTGACAAGGCAGATGAGTCAGGTGAAGCTGATCCGATGGAGACAACAAACGGTGCTACAGCCCAAGAATGATGAGCCACTTGAACCCTTGTCTATTTCTTTCCCGACCTTTTTCAATTTTGTTACATTATTCACCGAAATATACCTGTTCAGATATGATTTTAATGTAGTGGTCAGACAGATTCTTGATAGAAATTTCCAGATGTGCATTCTAATTGCACTTTATGCTTTCTGCTTGAGGAGTATAAAAGTGTAGTTGCATGTGAAGCTAAGAGCTTGTTTGATTGCTGCTTTAGAAATATCTCAATTTTTTTTTTCAAAAAAATCATGTTTGGAAATTACATGTCCTTATGCTCTTATTGTAAAATCAGTAATCTAAAGCTAAGTAGTGCCTTCTCTATTTAGCAGCACTTCCATTACTCATTTTGGCAGATAGATATGTAATCCTGGTGCTTTGAATTTGTAGTTGCAGTTGGTAATTTGTAGGGAGGCATGATTTTTATGCTGGAATAAATATATGCAATATATTTATAAATAAAGGTGCTTACGAAATGTATCTTCTAGTTGGGGCATACAACATATTTTGGCTGATGATGACACTATTGTGGCATGAGCTGCGGCAACAATCTGCGCACCATGTTTTTAGACATGGGTTGTCGTTGCGATGAGGAATGTGCCGAAATGCTAATCTGAGGCCTAAATGGTTTTTCCTCCCTTTTTTTTTTCCATAAACGTAAAATCGTGTTGGTCTTTTTTCAATACCTGATCCATTGACTGTCATGTGCTCTTGTATTAACGAGAGTGGTGGTGGTTTCTAAATTGTAAGTTCAACAATTTATTGTCCATCGATTCTCAATTTGGTTTCTAGAGCCATTTGAATGAGTATTTCTTTTTTCTTTTTTAAGTTAATGTCATACTCCTAATTTGAGTGCAACCAATTTACAATGTATAGTTATAGGAGTGTTGCCAAAAGAAGTCTTCCTTTTGACTAAATGCCAATTTTTGAGCCACATGATTTCTTCATTATAACAACATCTTGGTCTGATTGAATGGTTCGTTTAAATCATCCCACGTGCGCGCGCGCGCTCCACATATATATATAAAATATTGTGCTGACAAATATGTTGACTTTTTTAACTGGGAATATATTAGCTTTCAAATATATTTTTAACTTCTGGGTGGTTTCAAAACTTGTTTCTAAGATTTAGTGCTCCAGGAAATTTATTTTTCAACTTTTGGGTGGTTTCTAATCTTGTTTTAAAACGATCCCAGTCTACATGTAACAATCTCAGATCTGAAGCACTATATGATACTATAAATCTCATTACATGCAACAATTTATGATTTAAAACATTCTTGTCTGGATGTAGCAATCCCCTTTTTGTAAAAATTTAAATTTGGTTCTTCACTTTTTGGCAGGGAGAAAGACAAATTTTATTGAAATGGATAATTGATAAATTAATATCAATTTTTTGTGGGATTTAATTTTTGACCTTATAACTTCATAAGCATAAAGCGTATAACTTAAATTGAAGTTGTTAAACGTTATTACATAGTTAAACTGAAGTTATGACTAATTATGTTAATATTTAAGTTAAAATCATTGTGGGGGAATATTTTATTTTCAATTTTGAGGTAGATCTTTGTAGTTTATTTTCTTTTAATTGGACTTTTATAGTTTGAATTGATATATTTTTTAATTCCTCAATGTTAAAATTTCTGAATTTTTTCGTTTAAAAATAAAATTAACTTTCATATTTCCACTGAAGATTATATAACTTTACAATTAATTATATAATTTTTACAGCTCGAAGTTTATACGATAAGGCTGTCTTCTATATAATTTTCATTAAAAAATTAATAAAAATATATGTATTGTATTAAATTAATTATTTTTGGCCAAAAGTATTAAATCAATTTTTTATGAACTCCAAAAAAAATTGATTTTGGTAAATTTAATCATTTGTTAATAATTTTAACTTTTAGAAATTAATTTATTTAATTGATTAAATTACAAGAGTCTAACTAAAATAAAATAAATTACAGGCATTTGATTCAAAATTAAATAAGACTAAGGATATGTAAATATATTTTTTTCAATTGTTATAAGAAGTGTATTTGTTATTATATGATAACTATGCTTCCAACTTTACTTTTATTATTGACATCTTTATTTTAGATGTTAGCTATGTTATTTATTTTTTAAGGCTATAAATGAAATCATCTGAATCTACCTTGTCCTTTTAAAGCGGCTTTTTCTTTTGGAAGAAAAGACAATTTTATCAAAACAAATAAAACGAAAATGGCTACAGCCAAAAAGCAAAACTACAATTTCGGCAGAGACTCAAGGAAACAACAGGCACAACAAAAACAAGACAAAAAGATTACAAGAGAACACAAGAAAACATGACAGAGAGAAACCAAAAAACCCTGAGAACAAGAACAAAAAACGAACACCCGAAAGACAAAAAACAATATATCTTCAACAAAAATTGCCAGATGACGTGAATATTTGCCAGCGCAAAAGACTGCATGAACTAGTTGCAAAAGTCACATCTTAACATCTTTTCGAAGCTTCGCGAGCAACAGAGTGAGTTGAAACTCAGTCAACTTTATGAAAACTCTCCTGTAGGATTTGAAATCCCGCAGCAATGCATGTAGTAGTCACGGGAAGAAAGGACTGCCATCGATCAGAACAAGTAGAAGGTAGCTTAAGTCTAACACACAGACAAAAGAAACCTGAATGAAAACAAAGACCAGAAACAGGCAGCTCAAGATTAAGGACCTTCGTGCAATTGCTAAACATGAAGTCCCTCATCCTAATCATGAATAGGAACGAGGTATTTTAAAGGAAACCTCGTCAAAACCTTCTCCAGAAAGTTGCTCTATTTCTGCAGAAAGAAACAGAGCAAGGCTGCGCTTGCGTCGAATAGTAGACGCTCGTGAAGCTTCAACAAACCCAGTATCAACAAACTCTTAAGTGGTTGTTAGAAAGCACCGAAGTAGGTGGTAGCCCTATAGAAGTGATAAGCTTGTGGAATGGACCCATTTTCTATAGGAGCTAAATTCAGGCATCTTCCATCATGACCAGAAACATTCATGTAGTCATAATATGCTCATCGCAGAGTTGGCGATACTCTGCCATAATTGTCATGGTAGAGATGATGGATAATTAGGAGCTTTTACATGTTATGAGGGAAACTTGTTACTGAGTTGAGTGAGCCGCCAACTGTTAATAAAATACCTTAATAATTTTGAGAACGAAGCACCTGTGAGGTTTTTTTGGCAAAAATTATTATCAAATACAGGAAATTGAGTTTTTGGACGTGATTTAGATCTTTTAATCCGAAGCAAATCTGAGCCGTCCATGAATTCTAATGCTTTTCTCTTTCGACAGCAAGAAAAGCCTGAAGCCCCATGCATGTCAACACTTGTGGAACTACTGGAAGGGGCCAGCACATTCTCATCATGCAAGCTTCCACATAACAATACTGTGTTAGAAGTAAAAGAATGTCTACGCGAAACATCAGACGTGGGGGAGGCTGAACTGGGTTTTATTAAAATAGGTTCAACAATAACACCTTTGGACCCTTTTTTGAAAACATACATACAACCATAAAAAATTAAGTGCACAGAGGTGGGTCCACTTGCATGCATCTTGAACAGAGTCGGTGAAAAATTACTAACCGACTTGGAACAGTGTTGAGAAAGATGACCAACGGTGAAGCATGTTGAACAGAGTCGGCCAACATTCTCCAACATGAAAGAAATCTCAGTTGTCTCTCCATTTTGTAAGTGCAACTGACGAAACTTAGAAACCTCTAGGTATTCAGATAAAGGAACTTGAAATCGTAGACCATTATTAAGAACAGCACTTGACTCATCAAACTATTGGAAAACACCTATCATGTTGCCAAGAAACCTTGCAGTGTCTTTTGTGTAATGGTCACGCGGCAGATCGAAATCTTTAATCCAAACAGAAAACTTATTGAAGAAGACACTTGCAATCGCAAATTGCCTTCCATGGATGAACTGATAAAGAAAAACCTTGAAGCAACCATGTTCCATGTTCTAGAATAACCTTCAAATCCTCTTCGTTATATATATATATATATATATATAAGAACAAAGTAACTCCCACTGTGTTGAACCACCCGAACAGAATAAAAAAAAAAAAAACAGAGAGAGAGAGAGTATTCCAGTTAAACCCATTCCATTTCGCGCTTGGATCGAATTTTTTCAAACTTTATTGGGTTAGCCCAAATAAGTTTAAAGTTTTTTTTTTTTTTTAAACTCTCAAGTTTGGTTCCAAAATTTTTTAGACTTATATAGTCCGACAAGATTACTGCCCCTACTTAAGACAGTGCTAAAAACATCTAAGGATTCTAGCTGAGCAAAATAATCATTTGATGTTTTAATCCAGCACTTCATAATTTAGATCAAGGAAATATTCTAGAAGACATTTTCATATAAATAATTGGAGTCTGGAGTACGTTGACATGATCATTCCCATGGATTTCTAAACAACCCAATTACTACTGCTTATCTTCCGTTTTATTTTAGTTTATTCTCACTCACAGATGAGAACTAATAAGCACAGGTAGCAATTACTTTTTTTTTTTTTTTTTTTTCAGGTGAGCATAAATATACAAGTTAACTTTGTCTCATTGAATCGGTGCCCATTTGGGAAACATGTTGGGTGTTAAAAGCCTAAATTATGTCAAGTCCAAAATTACAGTTAAAAACTTGAAAGCCAAACAACTTTACCTTTTCAAAAAAAAAAAAAAGAAAATCATGTTGAAGTCCAAGGCTATATAGCAAGGAAAGAAACGACATATACCTAACTTTTTAAGTTTTTAACCTACGTCAATTGCGGCCAATTTTAGTTTTTAATTGTGCCCGAAAGTAAATTTGTAGAATAAATTCTACCAAACATCAATTTTGACCAACAGGAATCCAGACACACTCTGATTTATATGCAACTTGTGTTCTATCTTTTTATAGCATTTCCTTTTCTTTTTACACGTTTTTCTTATTGAAACATCCCTATCATTGCTGGGTAAATTTTCTATTTTTCATAATTTAAAAGTAACAAGACCAAGAGGGGGAAAACTAGCCGCATTGTATGCAGCCACAAAGAATGGAACTTGCATTACATAATTTGCCCATCAAACCCATCACTCATACTGGCATATGTTCACAACACGACCTGGGCATTTCACCTTCCCTATGTTGACTGAAAAGAGGGGGGGGGGGGGAAATACCGG